CGGTGCGGCCGGTGGTGAAGGCAGCAGTAGCAGCCCGGCAGGACACGGCCGGCCAGGGTAGGAAGCAAAGGTTCCTGTCAAGTTTTCTTTACAGCCTGTGCTCTCTAGCATTTGAAAGAACCATTGCAACTCAAGTCATGTGGCACGCATACGAATGACAAATACGCTTCAGAGGCAATAAATTAGCAATTTCAAGGCTTTACTTCCCCTCATGGACTAATTGCCAGAGATTATAGTATATTATGAGAGAGCAATGATACTAATGCCTAAATATGCTTCAGTGATTATAGAGCTATCCTCAATAACCAAGCTGTTTAAATGTCAATGCAAGAAAGCTCTTTATTATGAGATTAAATATTATTTAGAAGCAATGCAGTAGGAACTTCCCAGGCTTCCTGCCTGCAATAATACAGTCTTGGAGCAATATATATTGCTTTTTAAATTATGCTTTTTAAAAAAATGTGTACAGTAAAGTGTCCCAAAATATTTTTGTGCTGAGAACTTGAACAGCATTCCTAATAAGAGGCTCTTGGCATTTTTTATTTTATATTTTGATACCAACATGCTACTGCCTTAATTCTTTTCTCCACTTTATATTAACACTTGCGTATCACCACTGTATAGAGAAGATAAATTCTTGTTTTCTGTTAGTGTGAGTGAGTGGGGAATCAAATATCAAAGCCCTTTCGTTCTTTTTTTCTTGTATCTCTAAGTACAAGTGTCTTGCACAGGCTCTTTTGACAGTCCTACCCCTCACCCCTAAACAAACATATTTATACCTGGCATTGAGACAACCCCTGGAAATCAGACAGAAGCTCCAGCTTTCAGGTTCAGCTGCTGACATGAAGGAGAGAACTAAGGTGTCTTTAAGCCATAACTCCAGTCCCGCGGTTCTGGAGACGACAGTTGGTGTTCACAAGCTCAAGCCCAGATTTCAAAGGGAGGGAGGCTAAAAAAGCTCTAACATTCCACTATTCTCATATAGGACTCCCATAGTATGGATTTGCCACATAGCTGTGAAGCCCTTCCCTATAGATGACAGCAGCATATGACCTTGCAGAGCATCACAACGGTTTTTTTCCCCTAGAAAATCCTCAGCACTGCAGTGGGTGCTGATGGTTGGACGCGGCTGCTCTGCTGTCCACATCCAACACATCGTTCCTCTCCCGTTGTTTCTAAAGCTTCCTGGTGTGACGTCCACCATGTTTCATAAATGCAAATCAGAAGAGCTACAACACAGTCACATCTCATGTCACCTAGTACTTGAAAACATTCATTCATCTCATTCTGAAGTTGTAACTTCCAACAATAGAGGGTCAATCTCATCTAGGAGGCTGCGCATTTTACTTGGCCGCAGTGGAAATTCTAAACATATTGGGGATGCCTTTAAATCTGAAGCTTGATTTCTAGTAAACTTATTAATTATAACTAATAATTACTGTAACAGTATAGAAAAACATATAGGTAGGCCTGTGGGGACAGACCAGGCAAAATCAAGGACAATACAACAACTGCTAATGAAGTTGTGGTGGAATTCTGTGTTGAAAATATTTTTTTTTTCTTTAGGAAGTATTGTTTCCTATACAAAGTGTGCAGATCTCTTCCATGGTGCACTCCTGAAGTAAAGAGGTGCCTCATATATGGATGACCAGGGAAGTTTCTAGCAGTTGCCCTATTAAGCCCAGCTGCAGTAGGACTGTACACCTGGATCCATGTCCTAATACTTTCTGCTGCCACCTGGCAATCGTTAATTCTGAATTTTCCTTGTTTCACCTTGGCTGATTTCTTCAGCCATTTTTATATCTCACCTATAAAACATAACACCTGTTTTCCTCAGAATGACTGAAGCTCTTTCTGATGCTCAAGTAAAAGACACCTGCCATATATGCTCAGAAAAGACATAAATTGCTCTATCATTTGCAACATTTTAAAAGATCCTTATCTATTAAAATCACAGTGTGACTGACAAGGAACATGCTGAAAGGCCACGAGAATTCTTTTTCTGCTCTTCCAGGCAGATAATAATCTGACATCTTTTTTGTTATGTCTTTGCCATGTATTTTTCCTTATAACAGTAATAAACTTACAATTCTGGTGTGAAGTAAATAGTCAAAAGAAATAAGCTGACACTGCTCAAAGGAGAATTACGTGGACTTGCACTAAAATGGGGGGGAAAATCACCTGCGTTCAGCCCCTTTCATGCAAATACGATTTGAAATCAGATTAAAATCCTCTTTAACTTTTTGCAGGCACCTTCTGAAATGCCCCGTCATTCCCAGCTCTCACTTACCATATATCCCGGGGCACACACACACTTCCCCGTGATGCTGTCGCAATCCGCGCCGTTCTGGCACGGGCAGGTCAGCTGGCAGCCTTCGCCGTAGTATCCAAGGGGACAGGTTTCGTTGCAGTAGAGCCCAGCCCAACCAGCTTTGCAGCTACATTCTCCAGACAATGGATGGCAACTAGGGAAGACAGAGAGATGTTAATGGACATGAAAAAACCCACAGTCCATAACTAGCAGTAGAACATATTACATATGATGCCAGCAAGAGCCACACTAAGAACAGCACAAATCTGAAAACTGTTAAGGACGGTGAACACAAGCAGCCCTGGAACTTAAGAAGTGAATAGGGAACATGGTGCTAACTACCAGCCTGGCACACCACTTCCGAACATCGGGGAACTGCCACAGCGCTGGTAGTTTTATACCTTTGAAGTTTATGCTGTTCCATTCTCATACCAATGTGACTTGGATTACTGACATCAACCACAGCATGATTAATCCGTACTGTTGTATGACATATATGTGCCATGCTGTTTGGCTGCAACACTGTCAAAGATGCTCAGTGTTAGGAGAAATTGTAATGGATGGAGGAATATAACCAAGAGAAGATATACCTGAAACCTGTGACTAGTCTAGTCTAGTCCATTCCATTCTATTCTACTCCATTCTATTCCGTTCCATTGCATTCCACCCTAATTTGTGTTGTAAAAGTAAGTGCCACCTCAGCAGATCTTCTCAGCATGTCGAGGTAGAAAGGAATGGGCTTTGGAAGGGAAACACCTCCTTGGACAAAGTTTTTCAGGGACTATTCAGCTACAGTGAACAGAACTGATTAGTACCCAAAGCTTTGGTATTTTTTTAGGGCAGTCGTGAACAGGAGTCCTGGGATTAAAACTCAGCTGTGCAGGGAAATGAGTCAAGTCAGGACTTGTCAGTGTTAGGTTAAGGGTTGGACTCAATGATCTTAAAGGTCTTTTCCAATCTAGGCAATTCTGTGATTCTGTGAAGTTCTTTCACGCTGAATAACGAGCATCGCTGCCCAACGTTAATCCCCTGGCTTTCAGTTCCATTCAAACAATTCCATGCTGTTGTAAGAGCACATGGAGAGAAAAGCAGAAAGGAGAATCAAGCCTGAAAGACCGGACAATGTCTGGTCCTTCTGCATCTGGTGGACAGAGGACTTGCCCCTTTGTTCCTCCTACTATGAAACAGTTTATCTTACTTCACCAGTTTTTTCTTCTGCAAAAAGAAAGAGCATCTCCCCCAGCAGGAGAGACACGCTGAGGCTGGGGAAGGAGGGGAGGGCTGGAGATGGGTTAAGTCCTGGTTTGAAGAGATGGAGGTTTCTGGGGGATGGCAGGGGAGAGCACAGGGGGATGGCTAGTTTGCGGAGATGAGGGGGTCCAAAGAGAGAGCAGGGGATGGAGAGGGAATCGGATCTTTGGAAAGGACCCTGCGTTGTCTGAGGCTAGCTGGGAGTGTAAGGCTTCATCTCGGAGCTCAGCGTGCTCTGGGGGTCTGTGCACCACAGGATTGTACCTTAAGAGCCCTGTCTGGCCCTCAGGGAGAAAGATGAGAAATAATGTTGCTACAAATCAGATTTTATTATTCTCAGAATAAGAAAGAATCCAGAGTTCTGCAAGGTGGCACCTCTCCATGGACCTGTGTCCTGGTTTTTTGCCTCACACAAACTATTTATTTTCCTTTACGGTTATTTATTGCTAGAGTTTAATACTGCAGACATGACTGAATGGCTTTCTCTACATCTATAAAATTAATATCATGTATGTTAATTTTCAAGGTAACCTCATAAAACGTAATTTCCAAGTATGTTTCTGGCAATTACTGGTAGGAGAGGTTAGTCATATACTGTTGTGACTAAAAACGATCAAATTTTGTGAGTGTCATATGTTTCATCATAAATAGTGCTTTACTGACTAATTAAAACAATTCATCAGCTTAACAAACTACCATCCATGAAATTCTTCTGACAAAGCAGTCCCTGAAATTATGGTTGTTCACAAAGCACCTCTTAACATTCAGATGAAAATCATAAAAGCTCATTTTTTCTCCCTCTGCATCTATTAATCATTACCTAATAGGAGCAGAAAGCTAAACATTAAAGAAATATTTTAAAGTGGATTTTTTGTTTCTCTGTTTCACTACTCTTGCACATATCATACGGTTCCATGAGAACTGCATCTGTTGGCCAAGTTAAATATTTCAAACGTAATATACAATCATGGCAGTGTAAATCAGTCTACGACAATTCAGTCGAAAATAGTAGACTCGATAAGAATTTCTACTCCAAGGATGGCTCCTTCATCAAAACGGACAGCTTTTTTGCATCGGATGCAAACTATACATTAAGGACTAAAAATCATCCTAACATGCATGAGAAGAAGAAGCAAAATCCAAAGAGGCTTTGCAGAAGAGCCTGCAGGATACAGGGGGTTTGGACTCCAGAACAAGGTCCAGAGGAAGGGTGAGACCATGTTTTGCCCTCCTAAAGCCTCTTTCAGGAGGCTATGATTACAGAAGTCTAATGCAGATGTTTAGGTCCCTGCATCCGTATTATCTTCCCATTGAAGCGAGAATAATTTTGTTATCAGCCTGAGCATATCAGAATTTTGTTATTCTCCTGGGCCAAGGACTACAGTCTTTCAGTGCTTTGAAACACTTATCTCTTGCTGCCTTACAACGTGCTGGCATTGCAAGATTAGGAAAAATCCTCCACATTGAATTCCAGAGTTATGGTACCCATAACAAGAGTTCTGGGTAGGCAGCAACAGCTGGTGAATAGACTGTACAGCAGGGAAAGGGAAACTTCTCCTTGACAGCAGCAGAATAAAACTTTCCAAAGCTTTTGGCAAGGCAAACTTTAAAACTCACCATAGTGCTACGGTAGTGTAACAAGCAAAAGGAACTCAGACCTATTCAGCCACGTGTGAAATACGGTTTCAGACCGTGCCTTGCCAGGGGACACGGAAGACTTATCTCAGGTACAAAGAGCTCAATACTCCGAATCAAACTCACTTGTTTGACAATTAAGGTGACTTGATGCAGTGTTAACTTGAAGATGTTGATGCTTAACCAAAATTCCAAAGACAGCTGTTCTCTTCCCAATCCTGCCCAGTGAACCTTAGCCCTTTCTGCCTTCATTTTTCCCATTTGTAAAATTTCCTTTGGAAACCCTTTTGAGATCTGCAGCTATCACTAAACAGTATTCAGTTTTTATTCATAATTGTTTTATCTATTCTGACATGTATAAACTCTTCCAGTAACTAAATTCATCAGAGTTACATAGTAAATATATTGCAGCCCATGCGGTAGAAATACTATATGTATGCGTGCAAGTGTGAGTTGAGAATGCTTCTGTCATATCAGTGTTTTGTAAAACAATATTTCGTTCTAACTATGCACCCAGACATATAACAATAGCTGGGATATTCATCTGTCATGCAGGCAACCATCTACGCATCTGGACTGTGCAGTGAACTGCATGCTGGCTGCATCGAAGTTGAAAAGTTTGAGGCACCTAAACGGCAAAGGTGTTAAGGCAAAGAATACCAACACCGCTAGCAACGTGAGTGATTTGTGCAACTCATGTCCTTCTGTTCCAAATGTACCTGTCAAGGCCATGTGTCCCAGCCTATGTAAGGGACCTCTCCGTGCCACCAATAAAAGAAATTAAGAAACACGACCAATTCCTCTGGAGAAGTATCACTGAATGGGCAGGAGAGAGAATGAGAAAGGACTCCAGCAGACAGGCCAACACCTGCTTTCCAACCGCGTGCTGGGAGCAAGAAGGGAACCGTACACTCTTGAAAGAGTTTGTCAGTGTTACGCATTAGTATTTTGCGTTGAATCTTAACAAGTTTTATTTCTTCAAACCTCTCACATAACAGGAAGGAACAGGGTAGGAAAGCTAGAGTGAAAGCAAGCAGCCAAGTGTTGCTCTGGCTCTAGGCCAAGCAGAGGTGGAAACTGGAAGCTGTCCACAGCGCTCAACATGGCATGAGAAGGAAATTGTTCCACAGCTCTTACTGCAGTTTGGAAGCTACCGTACATTCCCTGGCTTTTGAGCCATATTTACAGCAATAAAATATATACCTATTGTTTAAATTTACTAGCCGAACTGAAAAACGAAGAGCCATTTTTGACTTCTAAATTTTTTGAGCACCTGATTTTGAGGAAATACGAGGAAACCAGATAATTTAACTGTCTTAAGGCAAACTGGGAAAAGAAACGCTTTAGACAGCACAGTCTGTTCCAAGTTCTGAACTTGTTCTCCACACATCTTTCAGCCAAAACAACTTCTTCTCAGTGAATTTCCTGGCTTTCTGTTTATACACTAGCACCAGTCACCTCATCTTAATTAACAACCATCCTAACCCTTATTTAACAGTATTTTCTGTCTTTTGGTGTCCATGCTACATTCATTGCCCCTTAAAATGTCCTCTCGCTTTTAAAGAAGTAGCCACAATGAGACTGTAGAGTCACCAATTCAGTCCAGCATATCTTCAAAGCCTCACTCAAGCACTTTATTGACTGAGGTCAAAGCAAAACTTCATGTAAGGTCCATGGGGTTTGGTCCTTCCAAACTCTTCAGTGTCGAGGCAATAATTACAGCCTCTGGAGATCTAGCTATTTCATTTGACTTTGTCACAGGAGGAAAGTGTCAAGGCTTAAGAGGTCATTGTGTCTTCCTTCCCTTCTCATGTCTCTGACCTGGGAAAGACATTACTAAAGGCATCTGGCTCCCCACGCGGGAGTGTGCTCTAGAAGGGTGACTGTCTGAGACTATTCCAGCTATTCATTTCTCTATCTGCTTTTCTGAAGAGCAAGCCAGAATTACGCCTTATTGACTGTTGTAGACCGTCTCCCCACGGGCTTTTTGTAGAGGGCAATTTTAACAGGTGTATCCTTTCCTGTGGAAGGACAGTCCAAGATACCAATGCATTCTAAATTACCTAATTCTGGGGTTGTTCAAAAGTCCTGTACAAAGTGCCTTTCAGCGTGCTTCGATGCAGAAATTATTGGATGATGTTCTTCAGCCGTTACTATGCGGGAGGTTAGACTAGATGATCACACTGGTCTCTTCAGACATTAAAACAGACAGATCTATGAAAATAGAAAAGCTGATTGTGTATTTCTTAATGTTCCTCCCCAGCCTGCTCCTCAAATAACCCAGAACTTTCCGCTCCAGCCAGCTCTCCAATAACCAGATCAAATGACAGAAGTAAGCAAGCTTCCCTCACCTTCCTTCGAGTGTTTATATAACTACCCTTACGCACTTAGGTATTGAAACAAGTAACCAACAGTTTAAAGTGCTTCTGGGGAAAATGGCTGGCTGTCAGCAAATCCATCCATTTGGAAGACCACAGTTCCAGAAAATTATAAAAATTCAGAGAGGGAATGGGAGGAGGCGGGTGGGAAGAGAAGGATGCTGTATGGGACTGGTTAAACAATCAGCAAAAAGGTTTGCTCAGAATATGGATGCCTTTGGAGAAGGTCATTTTCCATCAACTTTGACACTCTTCAGCTCAGGAATTGACAGCACTCCGAGGAGCTCACTGAAAAGCAGAAAGCTGAAATACCAGGCATGAATGAAAGAACATTTACAGATCTACAGCTTGCTGATATCTCTTTGTTCCATAACAGCAGTGATAAGATGTAGGAAAAAGGGAGATTTTTATCAATGGAGAGACTAGACTCATTTATTAAGGAAACGGAGATACGATCTCAGCAGAGGATGCTGTAAGTAAAGCTGACGGAGCAGTGACGGGAGGGAAGGCATAAAATGTATCTGTCAGCTGGCAGCCAGGCACAGGTCAGGTACACGGTCTGCAAGAATGACCACGTGCCCAGAAAGGAGCTGTGTGAGGATTCGACCCTCCGCCTTTCTGAGCTCCCTTAAATTAGAGACCTCATCTTTCCTCACAGCTAGAGGGTGTTAATCTGTTCTTTCAGGAAGGAAAAAGACCCAGAGCACCTCCTAGGTAGTTCTTTGAGTAACCTAGGATGAATGCTTCCACCCTCCAACCCACAGCCTTCCTCCACTTAAAAAACTCTTCATGAATCAAGCACTTAGCTGAGAAACAGCAGCCAAGCTCAGCTTTGGCTGTGGCCTGTGGTCCTTCTGCTCTGTTTACACCCTGATGGGAAAACGGGCACACAAATGGGTTTCTGCAGGCTAGGAGGGGGGCATGGAGCCCCATGGTGTCAGGTACTGCCCAGGAGCATATTCTCACCCTCCAGCACACATGAAGAACAGCTTTCACTGAGGAGCAGCTTTCCCTTGTATTTACTGCAGGTTTAAGTTGTGTGCGCTGGCAGGTACCGCAGAATAGCGTGACATGCAGGAATTACACCTCAGCTGACTCTGCAGTAATTCTGGAGCCTTCCACTACCCTCAGTATAACGCAACCTTAACCTTTGGTGTATAATACTCAGCTCATGCCGTAGGGATGTTATTTTTTGCAACTCTTTCATGATACACAAAATAACCAGAAGTGATAGAAGCCTGCTGTACAGAACTACCTTTGAGGTGCCGAATGCTTTGGATCCTTGCTGTCAAACCCAGCAGAGCCAGAGCTGTCTTTCTTGGAGAGGACTCGTATCATCAGAATTACAAGACTTTAAACAATCCGTTGTGAGCTCTGACTTCCAGTTAAGCAAAGCCTCACCACTCACAGTTGAATTCACAAGAAAGATCCCCTGTTTATTTCCAAGACTGAGACAAATAGAGTCTCTCTCAAGCACACAAACAGATTTGCCTGAAGTGTTTGTGGGTGCGTACCGTGTGTGTGCGCACGCACACAAATGAGGCGGTATTGCTTGCATACATAATTGAGGAGAACGTTTATATTTCAGCAGGCTGCAAGACTGCAAGGTAGGTTTGTCATCATCAGCAAGACAGCCAGGTCCTTACCTGTCTGGTTTAAAATTGAAGAATGTCCGTTCCAAGGGCGTATTTGCTTGGGCATCAATTATCCTAACCTGCCTCCAAAGCCTACACGATCCTGTATTGGTTCTGAATGCTTAACAGTAATGGACCCAGAAAGGAGGAAGTCAAGTGGGAGCTGAGGGACTCAGTACCCTGCAGGAGCGGAAGGGAAGGGTGGGCACTCTAGTCCATCAGAGTAGCTCATGCTAGAGTGGTTTTGCTGTCCAGGCTTCCTTTTACTCTTTTTATGTGATGGAGTGAGGAGCCTCCAAATTCCAACAGTCATTAAACAAAGCAGAGTTGCAAAAGGTAACAAATAGTATAAAAGTGAAGAGTCTTAAATTTGTCTTTTTTTCAGGGTTTGGAACGCTTATTCAAGCCTGCAATGGGAAAGTAAATTCAACCTATGTCATGTCAGGTGCTCAAGTCTATGGCTCTAGCTCCTAGTAATGAAAACCTCAAGAATCAGATTCTAAAAAAAGCAAAAGAGAATAGAACTTTGAAACCTGACCTTTTCAGCGAGGCTTACTCCATTTTAGGTATATTTCCCTGATATTTATTTTCCCGTATATTTCACACATGCACATACTGAATGAAGAGCAAAACAAGGCACACATGAGAAGAGATGTCTATTTTGACAATGTCGACTTCATTACAGTGTCATACACTGACTTGGGAATATTGATTTCAGTCTATTTATACATCTGCCTCAAGTGTTTTCAACAAGGTAATTTGCCATGAGACATAAACTGAAGCAAATTAGGTTTCCTTTTGAAAGTCCCCTTGCTGTCTGTAGATCTAACAAGAAAACCCATGTCATAAAAGAGCCAAAGTGATGGATTTTAAATGAATATATCTATATGTTTTAAACTTCGGTGGGTTACTACACATACATATGGGCATCATATGGTAGTTCTGATGGCTAGAAATCTGCAGTGACAGGATAAGGCCACACACTGGATTGTTTTAGAGTTTAGCAGAACTGTTTATATAGTTAAGAGACACATGCTTAGTAGCTGGCTGGACTGAGGTTGATAGCTCCAAACCTGAGGTTTGCCATCCAGAGGAACTGTCTCTGTTCTTAATTAAAACTACGGAGAAAAAGGGAGTAGGTGTAGTTAATTGATTTTTTCCCCAATGCTTTTATTTGACCAGTCCCTGCACTAGTATATAACATGATGTACATACCTGAGAGTGTTGGTAACATTGCAAGGACATCTCTTGTTGCATTTGAGGCCATAAAATCCTTCTGGACACATTCTTTCTTGGCAGAAAATGCCTTTAAATCCAGGGTCACACATACACGCTCCATTCACATGGTAACACTTTGCACCGTTTTGGCAGTCACATCTCTGCGTGCACTGGAAGCCGTATGTCCCGATAGGACACTCTTCTTGACACCTGCAATGAAATATGGGAGGAAGGGTCCAATCAAAAGCTATAGTCTAGTCTGCTTGTGACTTTTACACGGGAATGTTTTTCTTAATGAATTAAGTACAAGATCATTGCTCATTTATTTAAGTAATATACTGGGAACTAATGATATCATTGGAGTGATGTGATATCTTGGGCATGTAAATTGCTGTTAATTGAAAGTGCATTAATCTCTGTCCAATTACATCCTGCAAAATTTGCATTAGTTAATATTACCTTAGTTAACAAAGTGCATTCTTGTTTCATGGACCTTGACAATTCCATTCATCAACCATAAGAAATTGCTATAGAGTAAGATACTTCATAAAAAAGCCCCTCATCTTTTTGCTTTCTCTTTATTACAGAAAGATCTCACACCTCTTTTTAAAAGCATACGGCCCTCTGCTGATAAACAAAGATTGGAAGGGAATGGGTTCTATTAAGCAATATTGAGTAAAGTGTTCTCCAGCAACACAGAGTTCTACTTTATGCTGTCATTGCATCAGCTTTATACCAACTAGGAGAAAATACACTACATTGTCTTTTGTGTGTGTTCTGAGCAACTAAAGCTCAAATTTGCTTTTCATCTCTTACTCCAGGGATGCTCGGTAGTATAAAATCTCAAGACAAATCACTTTCACGCTCCTCAGTGTAGTATCTTCTCCAAAATTGCCAACATTTTTAATATTTGATACACATAAAAATGGAACCTGGAAACGCCGATTGTTTTAAATTACACCTTCCATGCACAGCTTAAAACATTTCCCTACTGGATATATTATGAAATCTGCCAAAAAGTCTGTTTCATTGTCCTACACAGCCAGTTTAAGCGTTCATAATATTTCCTACTATGAAAGGCTCAACTAAGGTCCTAAAGAGAGCAGCTGATTCTGTGCTTGACATAATTTGGTGGTTTCAGAATTCTGCAACGAGTCAGTACTACAGTTTACATGATCCACCGTGAAATACAGATAGACCTCTACAGTTAATAAAAAAAAGAAAAAAAAGCCCAGAAAATCCCAATTCCCTTATCGCATGGATGCCAGATATTGGAAATTGAGGCTGATAAATAATATAATCCTGAGCATTGATTAAAGTGTATACTGTAAACTCAGTGGATAGAGGCAATTGTTAAATGTCTTTCTGCAGGTCATTTCACAGCTGGCAGGTGAGAGTTAATATAATGATCAGTAATAAAAGATTAATACGTGGTGCAAGCCAGGCAAAACTGCAACGAACCCAGCCAGTATATAAGAAGAGCGTTACTTGTGCAGCTTCAGATCGTCGCGTTTTACTAAACGTAAACGAACAAAGCCAAAGGCCTGGCCAGGGATGTAACTGCAGCAAGCGTCAGCAGAGTGGCCAGTTAGACAACCCAAGTTCTGGAGCTGCCCTGAGACCCAAGGAGAGAGGAGCCGGTGACAGGCAGGAAGGGAAGGAGCCCAGGGAACCACCCGCAGCCCTGGCTGCCGGCCCCGCTGCTCCCGGGGTGGTTCAGCTGCAGAGGAAATAACCAGCAAAGAACGGGTAACGTCAGGCCTGGAACGCTTAAAGCAGACAAAATGCAACGAAGAACATATTAAGACGCCTCATGTCTCCATCGCTGTGTACAGCTCAACTAGTTAGCAGGAGAGCACTGTACTCAACGAGATGAATACTTAGTCGATAGTGCACTATATCATTTTATATTTATAGAAGATGAAGCATTACCTAGCTGGGAGAAAAGCATCTGGAAATGAAATATTGACGACCTAATCCATTTACATAATTAGCCCTTTTCTACTAACAATTTAACCAACTTATTTATTTGGAGATCAAGCAGCTACCGCTAATGAATTTTATACAAAGAATACTAATAATGACTCCTCTGGAACATAAGAATAATCAAAATAGCTTTCTACTTAAACATCTTTCCTTTGCAACATATCAATCTAATGTGTCCATAGCACCATTAACAACCAGATACATTGTTCAATTAAATTACAAAATGAGCTGCTAAGCCCTAGTTATGTTTCTTGTTTAATTTACATTGCTTTCTGCCTGTCTGGGGAGATTCGTATTATAATATCCAATGAACTTTAATATGTACTATAATTATTTGGGTTGGGATAGGATAATATGGCTGTCACCTGTAGAATTAATGGAAGCAATTTCACAAAATATTAAACATGAGACACCATGCTTAACAGATGAACTTAGTGCAAACACCTACATTTTTTTCCAGATAATTTTTTCATTGAATAATGCTGTGAAGTACTTTAGGCTCTTCTGTTTGTTTGTTTTGAAACACTGATCACATTTATGTAACACAGATAAATATTAAAAGGCATCCAAAATGCACTAACCTGGAGACTGCCATTCTGTCGATAAAAGACACAGGTACAAACACAACAACAAGTGAGTAAGCCTACTCATACCATTACATCAAATGTAGGGTTTATTCTGTCATGATTCAATCGGTACTTTTAATGGCAACGTGGAAAACAAAGCTCAAACAACATGTTCGCTTTTCCTGTCAGCCACTGACTTCTCTAGACACCCCATCCTCAGCCTCTAACTGTGCTTCTGCTATTGCTCCTTCCCAGTTTGCAAAACATGCGTTTACATGACATCTCCAGTCATTTTAGCAGAGCACGGAGTTATTAATAGCGATTGCCAACTGCCAAGATGTTTAGTGCAGTGCCATTTCCTGGAAAACACATAGGGAACAAAGCGTGGCAATTACACTTACACAGACCTTTATGACCATTTCATCTGCACAGATATTTATCTAACTATGGGTTATTCTCTTCAGCACAAGACGATGAACTGCAGTATTATATAGTACTTACTAACAATTTTAAAAGACAATAGTAAATAAAGCATGCTTACGTTTTTATTGTTGTCGTTCACAAGGTAAAATTTTCAGCGCCTTGTAAAATTTTAAAGAAAACACTGTTTTGTTGCGCAGCAGCGTCGTCCTGCTATATTTGCAATTATACTGTAACACTGCAAGAGCTGCATGAGATCCAGAAAGTAAAATATGACTTCAAGCTAAAATGGTGCTGACTAATCTGTCCTATCGTCCATGCTGCGTGAACACATAACTAAGGAAAGCAATTTAGACCTTTTAAAGACGTTGTGCCTGCTCCTGCCCTCACTGAAATGAGTGGGCAATCTACCATTAGCCACCTGTAGTTAGCAGCGAGGTGCAGGTGTGTGTGCCTGCTCAGACCAAACCAGCACTGGCCACGCGCTGCCCCAGCCCAGGCGAGGGGCAGAACTCCAGCTGAAGGAACATAAGGAGCCCAAGCTTTCTCACTGTCCTTACTGAAGGCAGATCCAAGGCTGGTAGATCAACATGTTTTAACCTTCTGAGAACTTGTTTGAGAAGTGGGAAGCTGCAAGCTCATATAGTTTTCCCCTGCTGCTAGAAAGGCTCTCGGAACTGCCCATTTACCTACATTTCCTCCTTCCTCATGTCTGCATTTCTGCTCCTCTGCCTCTCCCTTCCATGTCTATGTTTTACCTCCTCGCTGCAGGAGGGGCCGGTGAGCCACACCTTAGGGTTTTGCTTGGGTGCAGGTCCACAATGTGGACCTTGGCTTCTTTTCCACCTCTTCCAACTGACCATGCCTTATTTTCTCCCTCCCTGCATCTGTCTTCCCAAGCAATATACCTCCTTGGAGTCCAAATCTCTCTCATTTTCCACCAAGTACAGACCCCTAATGGTCCTTCCTCTACTTTTATGGTTGAAGGGTGTAAGTGTTGCTGCTCAGCAACTCCATGGCTGTTCCTTCTACGTGCCTGTAGCAGAGCCAACTCTTCTGCTGCATCTTCCCTCGTGGCTGGGGCTATATTGGCAGCTGAGCAAAGAAGCTGGCTCAGCTGCAGGCTGCTGGCTGGCAGCTCCCGACAGCTCTAACAGTGTTGATTCACCTACAGCCAGAAACTGATTTAGGTCTGCAACAACCACATGAGGAGATCTAGAGATAGAGGGCCTGTGTCAGCCTTCCTGAGCATGGCCAGCACAGGGGAGGGCTTGGGATTGAAGTGTGGACACCAGGGTAAGTGTCCAGGCTGCACAGTTGCTTACTTTAGTGAAATTGTCTCCAATAGGAGAGAAAGAGAAAGCTTTGGTTAGCAACAGCAATTATATGGTACCCTATGGCTGAAATCACTGTCTCCAGATGGAGGATGGGCGAAGAGAGACACACTAATGTCTTCTCCACTAAATTAATGTGAAATAATCAGTATTTCCACCATATTCAACCACATGCAAATCCTGACATAATCTCCAGAGCCCCCTCCAATTACTGGTGTCGATAAAATGGAAACAAGGAACTTCCACATTTAATGAAAAGAGCGTAGCCTTCTGAACCCTGGCACAGTTTTGAAGGCTGGTCTGTTTGTGGGCAATAAAGACCCGCTGATTATACAATGAAGCAAGAAATGAGAAATTCCAATGAGCCTTCCTGCATAAAAGTGTAATTGTAGCATATGTCAGTATGCTGATACTGGCTTGTTCTAGCTAATAAAAAAAGGGAACGTATAGCAGAAAGAGCTGTAGCATGGCTTAGACTAGTGAGCTGTGCCCACGGTCTCTGAAAACCCTGGAGACACAGTCCAGCCCTCGGTGAAAACTGCATGTGAGGGCTCGTTTAACTGCAGCTTCCCCAGCACCGTGAGCCCTGCCCGAGGATTAGCCGGAGGGCTAAGCCAACACGCGCCACGATCCCACCTTGACTTTGCTGTGTAGTCATTGCGCTGAATCCACGGCACCTTTGTAAAACAATATTATCATCTTCTCTGATCGATTTATGGGTGAAGGCTCCTGTTTATAAATTTTGAGGATTTATCACCTCTTGTTGGTGTCCGAGATCGATCAGTGCTGTAGCAGCAGAGGGGCTGAAGGAAGCATTAAACTGCTGCATTGCTTACTCTTGAGGGTATTAATTTGTATAAATCTAGTTCATTTACATATCTTGTAAACATGTAATGCTCCCTATTAAATTTATCATTGTAAATATCTAAATTAAATTTAATCCATTACATTTTAAAAGTTATATTTAAAAAAAAAACCCTGTAAATAGAGAGCATTGCCAATAAAAAGTAATAACGTTGCCACATTTATAATGTTCAAATTGCTTCAGCAGTATGAACCTAATTGGGCAACAGAAACATAACACCATTTTTCAGAGAGCGAGATTGTCCTAGAAGGCATATAAATATTGCCAATCTATGGTTAACATTAAAAGCTTTGGGGTCTTGATTTTTACCTGTCTCCTACATAGCCAGCTGTACAGATGCATTTTCCTGTCACGGGATCACAGTGTCCTCCGTTGTGGCACGGACAGTCCTGGCTGCAGTTAATTCCAAACGTTCCAGAAGGACATGGCTGTGCACACACCAGCCCCTGGTAGGGTTGCAGAAAGAGCAGTATTTCAGTCAGTCATCCATAATGCAATAAATTTCTGTATGACACCCGGATTTTTATTGTCCTTCTTGCTAAAACTAGATCTAAGTGTAGTGGCAGTATTTCTTCTGTTTACGATGGGCTAAAGACAGTCTCAAAATCCTGCTGCCAGAGAAAATGCCTGCCTACCCTATCTCCAGAAGGGTTTTTTCTCGTCACTGTAAAGTCACTGATAACTCTTCTTTGGATCTCCCCACTAAACTGCAGCTGGGCTGGCAGGATATTCACTGACTCAGATGGGTGCAGGAGGGCTCGGCAGAGGTTAAAGGCAACTAGAGAAGGCTACAAAGCTGTGAGTGTGCTGTGTGTTTGTGTGAAATAGAGTTCGAAAAGTTGCTGGACCTATCCTAGGTAAGCGTCACAAAGTGAACGTTTGGGAAGAGAGGGATTGTTGGAGAGGGATGAAGTTCTGCTGCTTGTGATAGTCTCTGAGGATGTCCCCTCTTCAGACAGTCACGCTTCATCCAGCCACAAAGAAGACCAAAAAACAACCACTGGAGAATTTCTCTACCACTCTTCAGATCCTATCTACTTCGTTCCCTCTACTTGCATGCAGCACCCACATTCATCTCTCCAAGCAGCACAGAATGGTATCTGCCAGTGCTTTGTCTGTGCCATGGAGAAGGTAGGATGGGAACAGATTAGGAGAGCTGCAGAAAGCCACCGGAGAAGCAATTGGACTCTCCACAGCAGCAGCATAGCAGCCTTTTGGCCAGAAGTGATTTTGTGGTGGAATATCTCTCTGAACAACAGCTGGATGCACCATCCAGCACTCTCCCAGCAACTTATCCCCACCGTTGGAGCCATACCTCAGTCCCTGACCTGTCTCAACTCCACATTTCCATAGCTACTTCCCTCCCCTACTTTGTGCTCCCAGCCCTCTGCTCTTCTGCCTTTTTGTTCCACCCTACCTCAAGTCCTTGTTGCAGACTCCCTTTCAGTCCTTCCCTTTGCCCAGACCCAAATCCCCATCTCTGAGTTGTTCCCTCCTTCCCCTCTCTGCTTAACCATCCCTGAAAGGGAGGAAAAGACAGACGGTTGCTCTTGGTTGCACACCCGGGCACCGCTCATCAGGAAAAGCAATTGCTGGGCAAGGCTCGGACCGGCTGCTCAGCCCCAAGGCAGAGAACGCTTACCATGGGCTGTGTCTCTGGAGAACGTTATCTGCCAATCTCAGATGGTTTGCCCCCAAGTAACATCCCCTGCCATGTATCAAGGCCTTACAAGGATTTCCCTAGACTTTCTCAGAAGTTGTATGAGTGGGTTTTTTTTATGTGAGCAAACATAAAATCTGAGGCTGGCACCCAGCTGAGCAGCTTGAGCCAAACAAGCCTGGCAGCGCTGCGATCTGAAGATGGGGTCCTATAATGGAAAACGTTTGGCAACTGCAGCAAGCGGTGCTGCTGCCAGCGCCACGCACAGCGTTTGGTAGAAACAGCGCTTTTCTCTCCCTATTATTATTTTGTTTTAATCTCTCAGAAGTCCTACTTCCCTAACCAAGCCCCAGGGACTCTGCTTTTTGAGTAAGGCACATAGGAGACACAACTCATACAAAACATAAACCAGGAACATTACGGCCGCTTCCACTCCTCGGGGTTCTCACTCAACAGTTTGGGAAGTTTAGCAATACCAGCTACCTTAAAGTGGAGACGCTCTTCTTCAATGTCATTATAAAACACATACTTCAAGCCTTTCCCAGCCAGTCATAGGCGGCTCCTTGGCTATAAAATCGACAGGCTGGCCTCAGTTCAAGAACATTCAGATCACAGCATTAAAAAGCTGGTGTCTCTGGACTTGGGTAATACATAACACTATATATCTGAAAATGTAACTATCCATTTATCTTCATAATAAATACTTTCTCTCTCCGTGTCTCAAAAGTAACAGGATTTCTATCAACAAATGATGAGAAAGCAATACTCTGTGATGTATCCCCCCGGAGCCAAGAGAATCTTCAGGCATACTTCTTGCATTAATATGTGCTAAGGGAATCCAAAACAGCCCTCTCTGGAGGATCAAATGTCAGACCAACGTTTCCTGCTGCTTACACATCTAATCAGTGACGTTCACCCCATCAGCATCTTTTTTAAGGCCCTGATGTCATCAGTTTTCTGCTTTTGTTTGATATACTTTCCATTTTGTAGCATAGAAGAGTTCCTTTTCTGCTCCATTTTCTCACCTCCCCTACATCGTGTTTAAAATCCGCAACCGAAAAAACCAAACAACCAGACAAACCCACAAATTATAGTCGCTTTACAAAGCCCAGAGGCAATGAGAAAAAAGTGATTAGCAGGATGTATTGTATTAACATGGCACCATGATGCAAAGCCTTGGGGATGGGATCTGGGACCAAACAGGGTGTGTTGCCAGTGACAAATGTTCTGTCAGGTAAGGAAAGATTGCTGCTTTCCTGGGCACGGAGATCTAGTCCTTCAAAAGTGTTTCTGAGAAACATTGTAAATGCTAAATTGAACTTCTCTCTCTACTTCCTGAGAGTGCTTGGAGGATTTAATACTGCAAATGAGAAAGACGTATAGAATTAAACCAATAAATTGTTAATGACACCCTAAAGCAGCCACCCACTAACTCCCACAGCCACAAGGACAGAGAAGTGGAAAAAGCCCAACGTTGTAGCATGCTGGAAGCCACATTTCGTTGACTAATTCAACAATATATGCTGTTAGCCACCATCATCTGGTGAAAAACCCATGGGACAGTAAAATCTCACAGGATACAGTTCATATAACTGGTTGTGCTTCTGGAAGAGTCTGCACTAGGTGGGAGGAAGCAAGAAGGAAAAAAAATATTACAAGTAATAAAAGAACCAGGCTTTGAAGATGGCAGATCCACAGGAAGAACCTAAAACCCCTAGAATCTCCTCCTATTCAACTTATTGCCTCCCCCTGCGTATCCCACAGGCAACCAAGCCCCTAAGGGAGTTGAGCTGCTGTTAATAAGCCTGCTCTAGGAAAGGATAAAAGTCGCAGCTCATCCAGCAACAATAAAATCCAAATGGATTTGCACTTGTATAAATCCAGGGAGAATTCTCTCCTTCCAACATGACAGTATATTCAATACATACGTGTACTCTCAAGCCTCAAAATCAGCAAGTAAAATTCCGGATGTCAAAGAAAAACTATCCATGGTGTGAAATAAAATGCATGCTGTCTAGCAATCCCATCTCGCTTGTTCGTTTACAGCCCACTCATGTCTCACTTCCCAAACCATTCCAAGCACCAAGAGTTAAAAATATAGCATGAAAAAATATTTTTTTCCTCTCTCTGTGTACTGAATTACCAGCTTTTCATTAAAGCCCTGGAGAGACCCTTTATACTTAAAATCTCAACATTTACAAGCTGAGTGCTTTTACTTATAATTTCAGTTTCTTTCCCTGGAATACTTGATCTCTCTCTTCAATTTTCAGCTATGCTTGTTTCAAACATCAATTGTTAACTCTAGGGTTTCTCTGGGGACTGAGCAGCCAGCAACACAGTTTTCAGGGAAGTCTCTCTGGGCCACTAAAACTGCAGAGAAGAAACCCCAGGCTGTACGGAACAGGGGCAGAAGTGTGCCAGAATACACGACCACAGCTGCTGTGCAGCCCCCATGCTGTGGTTCTTCTTTAGGATCTACGCCGCATCCTAAAAGATCTCCAAAACTTGCTGCTCTATTTTGATATTCTTATCTCTTTTGTGATTTTTTAACTTCGCAAAAAACAGAGGAAAACTCCTGATAAAATAGAGGTAAGGGAGAGTACAGCAAAACAACTCCGAGCTTGAGAAATACTAGCATGGGGAAGTGAAAAAATACTCAAAAAGTAATATTTTTACGTTATTCACTTTATCTATCACTTCCTAGGTGTAGTGCCAGAATGGACTGATAGACCCTAAAAAAATATTTGAATTGCTTCCTTTATCCTTTGTCTCCACTGATCACTGGCTGAGGGTAAGGTGCCATATTCTTACTTAAGTTTCTGAAAAGTTTTGCCTGCTTTGTCAGTTGAAATGGAATAACTTCATCACCACCATTGTCATGACTGGCCAAGTTACACAGACTCTAATGCTCCAGCTGGAGACTTTCTCTACACAGCTTCCACCAAAAATTATGGGCACTGCTGCCCGATAGCCACGAGAATCTCACGGTTGGTACTTTTTAACTAAAAGCAGCTGTGTGATCAAACGGAAGCAGCACTGGCTGTACTGATCTGAAGGAACATAAACATTTCTCTCAGGGCTTAAATGTTTCAGCAGGTATCAGGTCCACAGCTGCATGAGGACCTTCAGGGTCTTCCACATATTAAAATACAAAGTCACAGTGCTTGCATGCATTAAAAACCAGCAAGATTGCCAAGAGACTAATTGTCAGATACAGGAAAAATGCCAATTTTTACTACAACTTAGTACAGCTAAATGGTATGTAGGCCTGTGAGACTTGGCAAACCCCAAGAGAGTTAATTATTACATTATTGATAAAGTTAAGGACTTTTAAAATGTCTGGCCTTGCTTTCTCGACACGAAGGATTAAAGGTTAGGGCAATTTGCTCTCTCCACTGCAAGACCCGATGCAAGCAAATCCATTGCAATCAATGGGATTTATGCCTGAGTCAGGAGCACTGAACTGGGCTAGGTACGGTCCTGCTGAGCCACCCTGGCTTCTCCATCTCCCTCTCTCCTCAAGGGGAAACAGGACAGTGCATTTGACATTGCTGAGCTGATCTTTTGAGTCTTCTGTCCCATGTGAGGGCATTGTCTAAGTGTGCGGGGAACATTTCAGAGAACTGTAACTCAGAGACAATTTGTTTGTCTCTTCTCCCAAACAGAAGAAAATGAGTAGTCACTGCCCAGTTTAACTCTAGGGTGGTAGCTCCCAGTCATAGACTGGTGGCCTGTTTAAGTGCTGTGCACACCTAACAAAGGTGCTCCGAGTTTCAGAATTGTTAGGAACTTCATGACATGAAACAGCAGAACACACACAGAGAAGGTGTCTGTGGAGACCACAAACAATTAACTTCCTATTCCAACCTCTCAGTGAGGGATGAGCATGAACGAAGTACACACCATCCATCCAGGGGGACAGGAGCACTCTCCAGTGATGTGGTGGCAGACTCCGCCGTTCTGGCAAGGGCAGCGCAACTCACACTGAGCTCCGTGACTGCCTGGGGGACAGCGCTCTTCACAACTTTGTGGAGACAGAAGAAACAAAAAAAAAAAACCTCACAGAGATCATTTAAAAGAACTTACAGGAAACAGTAAATGAGCAAAATCTACAACACAGGTCATCATGGGAGTCCTTATGCAAATTATGAAACCTCAATAAGTCTCAGCTGGCATTACCAATTAGCCAAGATTTCTTTTATTTCTGCTGGCATTATTTGTGTGCCATGGATCCAGTCCTGTCAGGCTGATGCATGCATGTAATCTTTATGCACATAGCAAGTTCCACCCATTTCAACAGGACAATTCATATCCATTAAAATAGCCCAGGAAAGCAAGTGCTGCGGGATGAAGCCCTCAACGTGAGTTAGGTGACGTACCACTATAAGAAGCTGCAAATAGAATGAAAGGATGAGATTAAAATGCGTGAATTTCTCCAGTCACTACTAAATGTTAGCATTCGCAGTGTATAATGGACTGGCAAGAACCCAGCATCATTTAAAGGCTATTTAAACTCGTCTGGTCTTTCTCAGTATTCACGAGTGGCCAATGTAAGGCTAGTCCCTGCAAAAGCCAGCGTCTCCCACATCTGCACATCAATGCTTTTCAGCATTGCTCCTGAAACTACAGCAGGTTCTTCCTCTGACTGTCCTCTGGTGAGGATGCTCATACAACACATCGGGCGTTGGCCTTGCAGGTACTTACAGCTCAGGACTTATATACTAATGCCTGTTGAACCCCTCCTGATAGCAAGCAGAGCCTTTAGCAGTGAGTGCTTCCAGGGCTGAGGTCAGAAGTCTCTGAGGAAATCAGGTGCTAAGTAAAATATTCAGAAAGCATACCACTTATTTATGAAGGTTAATATTGTCTTTATTTTTTACCTTCTCCTTCATGCAGGTCAACAAATAATATTAGACTGCCAAGGTACTAAGCCATCTGTAATAGTTCTCCAACCAAATTCAGTGACTAAATTCTCTTTTCCCCTTAAATAATTTTGAAAAACATAATTACTTCTGAAACTACTGAAAGATCTCTAATGAGAACTGATGTTACACTGTGGGCAATTTTAAACAAGGAACTATTGCTTGCTGTCCTAAAATTAATATGCAGATTTTGCAAATCCTACTGGTAAACTTTCAGGGTGGTGGATGGGGATTTAGCTACATGATTCTCGTTAAAGTTAATATGAGTCACACCACTAAATCCCTGCTCACTATGCTTAAAATTTGCCCCCTAGATAGTAAGCTGATATACTTAACAGTAATGCTTCCTCAGTTAGATTTAAAATCAAATAAATTGGGGATGGTAAGTCCCATTTGATACTGCACTGGACTGCTAATGAGTAGCATGTCCAATTGCTTATAAAAACTCAACTGCAATTTGGATTGTATTCACACAGTGAAAATAAGAACAGGTACAGTTGTTATACAAGCTGGAAAAGATAATGGAATTTTGAGTTCATTTTAGCACTAAATTTTATTTTATTATGCAGACAGGTATAATTAGCAGAAAAAAAAGAGATTTCTTTAGTCTCTCTGAAATTCTGTTACTGATTTCTACAAGGGAGAGAGCATCACAAGTAGGGGGAGGACGTTTTCGCA